CAGGAATCAAGGTCAAAGTGCAGGCTGGTAGGTGGGGAATGGATGGGCAAGACTCCCGGTGTATCGCTTTAAATATTTAAACAATCGTTTTACTGGAAATATATATACTGTATATACTTATACACGCCCCCTCTTTCTCTCTTTCTTCCTTAAACATTTAGCTAAAATAACTTCTATACAAGCAGAGCAAAAAAAGGCATAAAGGGTACAGTTGTAACAATGAAAGTAAAACAAAAGCAGTGATAAACATGCATTTTACACAGCAGTAAAAGAAAATAAGCATGTAATAAACCATATGCATAAAAGTCATCTGAATAACTAGAAACTCTTTAACACAACTACTGAATGAGTGGCAAAATACTAGAAAAAAAATAGGAAAAAAAATCTGCTTTGTATTGTGCTCCAAACTGTCAAGAGAGCCATTCTGTGCTCCAAATGCCTTAAACCTGGAAATAATAATACTAATACTAATAATAATAAAGTTGGAAGGAACCTTGGAGATCATCTAGTCCAACCCCCTGCTCAGGCAGGAAACCTTATACCATTTCAGACAAATGGCTGTCCGGTCTCTTCTTAAGAACTTCCAGTGTTGGAGCATTCAACACTTCTGGGGGCAGATTGTTCCACTGGTTAATTGTTCTAACTGTCAGGAAGTTTCTCCTTAGTTCTAAGTTGCTTCTCTCCTTGATCAGTTTCCATCCGTTGCTTCTTGTCCTGCCTTCAGGTGCTTTGGAGAACAGCTTGATGCCCTCTTCTTTGTGGCAGCCCCTAAGATACTGGAACACTGCTATCATGTCCCCCTTCGTTCTTCTCTTCATTAAACCAGGTCCTTACTTTTATATATGATGTTAATTTTTGTCCCACTGTAGACAATTCCATCTCTTTTTCCCTGTCCCAATCAGTGGTACTTTTGAGCATACAAACAGTGGACTGGTCAACCTGTGCATGCAATTCGGTGAGTTTCATAACTGAGGTTGTAGAACTCTGGGATTTTGTGTAGCATGACAATTAATGTGAAAGTAATGTCCTTTTGTGAAAGGCATTGTGAGATTGGTTGAACATAGGGGAGAAATTAACAATGACTTCTGCTCCAGATATGCTAGTTACAGCCATTTGTTTAGCAACTATTCAACGTTACTACAGCAGAGGAAAAAAGTGACTTACGACTGGTCCTCATACGTATGACTGTTGCAGCATCCCCAAGGTCACGTGATCAGAACTTGGGCACTTGGCCACCAGAATATGTTTATGATGGCTGCAGCGTCCTGAGGTCATCTGATCCTTTGCTGCCTTTGCCCACAAGCAAAGTCAATGGGAGAAGCCAGATTTACTTAATGGGCAATTGATTTACTTAATGGCAATAATTCACTTGAGCCATTTGTCTGAAATGGTGTAGGGTTTCCTGTCTGAGTCCCTTCCAACTCTATTACTGTTGTTGTGTTGTTGTTGTTGTTGTTGTTGTTATTATTATTATTATTATTATTATTATTATTAATCATTGCCCAGTCAGCCAGATGTTCAGACGGATTTGGCATTTTTGTCTACCTATCAAGTCCCTACCAAGGACCTTCGATAGGCAGATGTGGATGTTTGATGGCGTTACAGATATTGTCGCAGGATGGAAGCAATTGTTGTTGTTGTTGTTGTTGTTATTTAATAACTGTGGCAAAAATATTATAAAATTGGATATGACTCAGTTAACATCCTCCTTGCTTAGCAGAAATTCTGGTCCCAATTATGGATGTAAGTCAAGGTCTACCTGTACTATTTTTATTTAAGCTTGAGTTAACCTGAACATCAAAGTAGATCTTCACTTTTAGCAAATGATGCTTATTCTGAATCTTTTTTACCTAAACACTCAGATGTTTTACCTTTCAGTCAGATGAAAGATGGAAAAGGGGGGTTAAAACATGGCCAGTTAGCTACAGAAATGTGTCGTTTACATCCGTGTTTTTAAAACTTGACAACTTTATATTGGGTGAACTTCAAATTCTGGGAGTTGAAGTCAGTTTCAGAAACTGAAGTCAACACTGTTTGAAAAACACAGCTCTAGATGCTCTGTAAGTAATCAATTGCACTGCATACTATGAGATCCATCTGGACCCAGCCAAGAAATTAAATTTCCTCCAACCTTTCTCCATAATCAAGGTCCATTTTCCCCGAACAAATAAACACGTGACTTCTATTCAGATTTTTTTAAAAAAAATACTTTGACTGGATCAGGAATTGAATATTCATTTAAGCCCTTCGGCACCATTCTCTTCTCTCTGTATCCTATGTCACTGGCTATTTTTTTTCTCCTTCCATTGATTTTTCACAATGCAAATCACCAGGCCAATAAATAGTAGCATAGGGAGAAACTCAACATATTGAAATAACTCTGGGTCAGTTGATCGGTTTCCTTGACTTGAATGAAAAATATTGATCTGTCCAATAATTTCAAATATTGAGCGATACTTTTTGAGCCATAATTTGGATCGGGATGACTCCATATAGGGAAAGGCAGTTTTGTCTCTCCCCATGACATATTTCCTAGTGTTGGTCAGCTTTAATTGCCATAGAATAAAATTGTGGCTTTTGCATGCAACCAGCACGGACCTTGCATATGCAGTCCTGGAAGATGGAAGAAAGCCATTTTGAGAACAGAATGCACCATTTAGCCAATGTAGGCTTTTTACATTCAAATTACAGGCTTGAGAAATGTAAACAGCACATTTTAGTGCAGGAAAATAGGCAAACTCCTTCTCCGAGTCTACTCATCCTTGCAGCCATTTCTCAAGAGTTAGACAATCAGTTATTAAATCACAATACAAGATTATTCCAAAGAGTCTGAGAGTGTTGAGGAGGGAAAAACCTTATGTTCTGTTGAGTTAAGATTGAGCAACGTTTATAAATCACGCTTGTCTTTCTTTTAGGAAAGGGGTGGAAAAGAGTCTCTCTTTTTTTTAAATGCCACGTTCGATTGTTTTTCTTTTTTTAATTTCCCAGAATTTACAAAACATCATCCACCTTCACGACTAAGAATTAAATTGCTGACCTCTTTTGTTCACAGTAATGTGTCTCACAGTAATTTGTTCACAGTAATGTGTCTCATGGTTTTCCCAGTTGCAATGTATGGCTGTGAAAGTTGGACCATAAGAAAGGCTGAGCACCAAAGAATTGAGGCGTTTGAACTCTGGTGCTGCAGAAGACTCCTGCGAATCCCTTGGACAGCAAGGCGTTCAAACCGGTCAGTCCTAGAAGAGATCAACCCCGACTGCTCTTTAGAAGGCCAGATCCTGAAGTTGAAACTCAAATACTTTGGCCACCTAATGAGAAGGAAGGACTCACTGGAGAAGGGCCTAATGCTGGGAAAGATTGAGGGCAATAGAAGAAGGGGACGACAGAGAATGAGATGGCTGGATGGAGTCACTGAAGCAGTAGGTGTGAACTTAAATGGACTCCAGAAGATGGTAGAGGACAGGAAGACCTGGAGGAATGTTGTCCATGGGGTCGCGATGGGTCAGACATGACTTCGCAATTAACAGCAACAACAACGTGTCTCCATTACTTGCTGGCGATTCTCCAGAGTTTCCAGCATGGAAAGGTCCCCATTGCTAACCTGAAGAGCACAGGGATTGAACTTGGGACCTTAAAAAGGATGTTTTCTATCAATCATTCAAGTTTAAAAAAAAAAAAAGGGAGGGGTTCCAGAGAATTTATCCCTGAGGAGAAAAAACACAGAAGCAGAATACAGATACAACAGTTCATTTAGTGAGCGAAGTTACAACAGCACTAAAAAAAAAAAAAGTGACTTATGACCATTTTTCATACTTATGACCGCTGCAGAAGCCTTGTGGTCACATAATCAAAATCCGGAATGCTTGGAAACTGGCATGTACTTATAACGGTTGCAGTGTCCCGGGGTCACGTGATTACCTTTTGCGACCTTCTGACAAGCAAAATCAATGGGGGAGCTGGATGCACTTAACAACCATGTTACTAACAACTTCAGTGATTTATTTAACAGCCAGGGCAAGAATAGTCATAAAGTGGGGCAAAACTCACTTAACAAATGTCTCACTGAACAACAGAAAATTGGAGCTCAATTGTGGTCGTAAGTCAAGGATTACCTGTACATATTTCAAGGAACAGCATCAGTCACAGCAGCAATTTCCCTAAATATTCATCAGCTCATCTTTGATCTTCTGACGACATTTTACTCCAGCCGACACTAGTCTGAGTTGGAAGAGTTGTGGCTAAAATATATAGGTCACAGCTTCTGTTGACGGTTACTTTGGTTTTATTATTCCTCCTCTCCTTTTTTTTTCTTTCTTTTTTTTTTCAGGGGAGGGTAGAGGTGGGGAGGGGGAATTTGAACAGCTCTATTTAGGAAGCAAAATGGACCCAACTTCTCCCAGAATACCTCACTCTCTTCTACCACTGATGATGTTCCTTAGTTTGGTAATGAAGCGTCTGCAAGAAAATAGCCAAGCACAGAGAACAGGACCCCTCATTTCAACCCTGAGCTACAAATATTGTTGGTGATTGATTGTGTGCATGTGTGTGTGTGTGTGTGTGTGTATCCATTTCCCTTTTGCCATTCACTTCAAATAAAGGCTTGTTGTCTGACTTGGGAAAGATCTCCAAAGATGGAATTGACACATCAGACATGAGGGGTGATGGATGATGGTTGGGGAAGTGGTATTTGATGCCGACAAGCCTCCTTCGCTAAGAGAAGGGCTTCCAAGTTCTCTTCCCAGAATCCAGCCACGTGGGCAGTGGCTGTAATGAGTGGCCATACATAGTTAATAGTACCAATATTGTTGCAAACTAAAGCATCTGTCAGCATCTAATATGATCAATCATACACTTGCTTGCTCTGCTCTGAGGGCTCTTTTTTTTCCCCACTTGAGGTAACTGTAACCCAAAACTTTTATTCCATGAGAGAGGGGAAGGAAGATAAGAAATCTTAGGGTGGAAAGTTTGGAAAGAGTTCTGTGAAATATCGACTCACCCACCGTTGGGAAAATTCATCCAGAAGCCTGTTTCTTTCCCTCTCAGCCCAGCAATGGCCAAGCGACATTCCACTGGCAAATCCGACAGCATCACTTAGAAGGACATGAAAGGAAATGGGAAACTGTCAGACAATCTGAATTAGAAGTCTGTTACTGGCCTGCCACGCCAATCACAGTGGCAGGTTTACTGAGGTTTCAGAGGGTAATTTATTCCAGATTGGGCTGCATTTGTAATGGTTGTTAGGTGTTTTTATTACAACGCAGCCGTGACATCACCCCAAATGTACTTTGATTTTCTCCCCACCCTCTCCTGCTGGCTCTCTCACAGATTGGATCAATCCATATCTCAGGTCCTGCCACCTGAGTGAACCTGTGATTCTCAAAACCACGTACGACTGAACTATCACAAAGAAGCTCCTTTTCAAAGCAAGAGAAAGAGAAAAGGAAAGCAAAAAGTTTGAGAAGATGGAAACCTTGCCACCACCACTTCCGTCATCACAACTTCCACCCTCATTATCATCCTCACCCTCATGTCTTGTCCCAAGCACCTTGGGCTAAAAGTATTACTCCACCGTTCTCAGTCCACATTTACAGTCTTGGTAGGCAAGGCGGTGCAGCAGTTAGAGTGCAGTACTGCAGGCCACTTTAGCTGACTGTGTTCAGCAGGTCAGCGGTTCAAATCTCACCGGCTCAAGGTTGACTCAGCCTTCCATCCTTCCGAGGTAGGTAAAATGAGGACCCAGATTGTTGGGGGCAATATAAAATATATATATATACATTGCTTACTGGTGTACACCGCTTAGAGAGTGCTTGCACTTAAAGCGGTATATAAGTCTCATAAATAAATAAATCTTCCATTTAAGGTTGAGATTTTTCAGGTTTTCCTGAAATGTTTGTTAGCAGGGTTTTTTGGCCTCTTTTTCGCCAACCATATGATGGTTGGCATAGCAATACAACTTAGACTTATATACCACTTCGCAGTGCTTTGCAGCCCTCTCCAAGTGGTTTACAAAGTCAGCATATTGCCTCCAGCAATCTGGGTCCTCATTTTACCAACCCGAGTCAACCTGGAGCTGGTCAGGATCAAACTTCCTGGCTGTGGGCAGAGTTAGTCAGCTATATTGTATTCTAACTACTGTGTCACCATGGCCCGATATCCAATCAAATGGTATCCAATTGACTGTGGTCTACGCTGGACTTTGCTCACTCATGCAGAGCACAGGCTCAACATAGCACATTCTTCATTCTATCGCTATGTCAGAGAGCCTTCAGGAATTACTTCTTTGTAGAATTTCTTTTGTGGTCCTGATATGAGATACGAAGTATCTTTCTGAAGCAATGTTGTTGAAAGAAATGGTGGGCTTTTTCCCACAACTTCCACTAGGAAGAAATTCTACCAAGCACAGAATTCCAGATGTCATCCTACCAATATTAAGGATGATGGGTTGGCATCAGACACAACATTCAGAGCAGATCTGAAGAAATGGTTGAGTTCAACTCCATGAATTTTCAGTGGGGTCGGAAACCAAGTGTGGCTAAATCTGGTTCCAGTCCAATACAGGTAGTCCTTACTTAGAAACCACAAGGGTGACTGGTGACACAGTCACTAAGTGAAAAATCATGCATCTGCATTGGACCTACAATGTCACTTCTTGTTCGGTCATTAATGAGTCACCCTAAGGTGTTCAGTGAACACCGCTTGCAATTTTATTCCAACTGCTCCGTTGACTGCTTGTTGGAAGCCCATTGTGAAGCACACAAATGGCAATCACATCGACCACAGGATGCTGCAAGGCTTGTAAATGAGCACTGGCTGTGAAACACCTGGATTTCTATCTCATGACCACAGGGATGCTGCGATAACCATTAAGTGCGAGGACCACTCACAATGCTACTATTTCAGCACCATCATAAGTTCATACAGTTGCTAAGCCGAGGAGTCATTAAATGACATCCACCTTTATTGTTCCTCCCATTAGTGGAACTCATGCTTGAAGATATGTACGGTGCTATTTCTTCAAGTCCTCCCTTAAAAACTCAGGCTAATTTTAAGGCCCACCTTCTTCCAACACTCCGCCCTCTGTGCTTTGTTTCGTTTTGTTCCAAAGTTCTGCTTTAAAGTCTTCATTTACAGAAAACCCAGTAGGAAGCAAGAACAGGACCACATCCAGCCATCCACAGAATGCCCTCTTATTTTAGGCATGGGTGATGGTGGTGGTCAATTTCTACTTATTTAGGAATCCTCCCATTAGGGATAGGATGCTGCACTATTGCTTCTATTCTCTATGTCAGCGGTTCTCAACCTTTTCTTCACTATGGACCTCCTTTAAATACCTTTTGTGGCCATGGACCATGGCCTCAGACTCCCAAGACATAAGTCAAGATTTAAATAATAACATTTCTTCAAGAATTCACAGACCTCCTGTGACGATATTGCGTTTCCCCTCGCCCCGGGGTCTGCAGACCACAGGCTGAGAACCACTGTTCTATGTATTCATTTGTGTCTATGTATGTTATTGACTCCAGATAGTTTTTGAAATGTTTGAAACATAAACATGATGCCAACACCACCCTGTAATCCAGTCCCAGTTTTGGTCACCACAATGTATAAAAGATGCTGAGACTCTAGAAAGAGTACACAGAAGAGCAACAACGATGATTAGGGGACTGAAGGCTAAAGCATATGAGGAACGGTTGCTGGAATTGGGTATGTCTAGTTTAATGAAGAGAAGGACGAGGGGGGATATGATAGCAGTGTTCCAGTATCTCAGGGGCTGCCCCAAAGAAGAGGGAGTCAAGCTATTTTCCAAAGCACCTGAAGGCTGGACAAGAAGCAACGGATGAAAACTCATCAAGGAGAGAAGCAACTAGAACTAAGGAGAAACTTCCTGACAGTTAGAACAATTAACCAGTGGAACAACCTGCCTCCAGAAGCGGTGAATGCTCCAACATTAAGAAGAGACTGGACAGCCATTTGTCCGAAATGGTGTAGGGTTTCCTGCCTGAGCAGGGGGTTGGACTCGATGACCTCCAAGGTCCCTTCTAAGTTTATTATTATTATTATTATTATTATTATTATTATTATTATTAAGTAGCTACAATAGTACTGAACATATTTAGAAAAGAAAACCAGGTTCGTGTGAAGTCCGCAGGTCACAAGTCATCCCGCCTTTCATTTACATTTTTGCAAAATGTAAGAATTATCTTTGGGGGGGGGGTGCTACTAACCTTCCATTAGCACATAATGAGGACAGTTGGCTTTCAGAAGCCAGGGATGCCATTAAAAAATCTGTACACAACAAGCAAATGAAAATTTCCCTTGGTCCGAAGGGAAGGGAATGTCAAACCATGACACGAAATGCAGCTGACTTACTGAACAGGAGCACTGTTGTTAGGAAGATGGATAGTGAGAAATAACTAATTTTCCCTCCACCGCAAACCCCACTTACAATAATGGAAGGAAGGTAGGAGATTAAGGTCTGCTGATCTTCACCAGATCTTCCATTGATTTGCAGTCTTCTTTCAAGGAGATGGTTCATGCAGTAAAGTATCTCCCAGCTGAATTTCTTCAAAAATGTCTAGTCCACATGGATGATTTATGTTGATATTTTGGCTCTTCCTGTAGCAATGCTTTTTTGAGGCCAACCGTGCTTTCTTTCTGCTTGTCTGCAATGCTCATCAATCTGCCTGACCATTACTTGATTCTATCTCTGCTGCTGAATTATTATCTGGAAAGCCATGATTACTTTTTCCCCTGCAGCCCTGAAGAATTTCATACAGGCCTACAAAAAAAAAAATGACATAGCATTTGGTGTCTTTTCGTTTCCCTGTTATGTACAGATTTTTCTGTCATTCCTGGCTTCTTAAATCCAACTGTCCTTTCTTTGGACTTCTTATGTGCTAATGGAAGTTAGTAGCACCCCACCCCCAAAGAGATAATGCTTGCATTTTTCAAAAATGTAAAATTGAGACCTGGATGACTTAGGACCTACTGGCTTCATGTGAACCTCAACATAAATTTACAGCCTTCTTGAGAGAAGAAACCTGTTAAAAGATATTTTTCCCCAGACCCCTGGTCTAGTGGGACAAGGGGAGGAGATGGGATGAACATAAAGGAGACCCCACTCCTATTTTTGCCTTCAGACTTACCCACTTAACAAGAAGAAAACTATTACAAAATAGAGAGAGGGAGGGAGGGAGGGAGGAGGAGGAGGAGAAGAAGGAAGAGGAGGAGGAGGAGGAGGAGGAGGAGGAGGAGGAGGAGGAGGAGGAGGAGCAGCAGCAGCAGCAGCAGCAGCAGCAGCAGCAGCAGCTCTGGTTGAATTCTTATTTTGTCTCTATGTCCTTATTTGAGGAATCATAAAGTTTGCTGTACTAAAAAGCAGAGACATCACCTTGCCAACAAAAGTGCATATAGTCAAGGCCATGGTTTTCCCAGTTGCAATGTATGGCTGTGAAAGTTGGACCATAAGAAAGGCTGAGCGCCAAAGAATTGAGGCCTTTGAACTCTGGTGCTGCAGAAGACTCCTGCGAGTCCCTTGGACTGCAAGGCATTCAAACCAGTCAGTCCTAGAAGAGATCAACCCCGAGTGCTCTTTAGAAGGCCAGATCCTGAAGTTGAAACTCAAATACTTTGGCCACCTAATGAGAAGGAAGGACTCACTGGAGAAGAGCCTGATGCTGGGAAAGGGCCTAATGCTGGGAAAGATGGAGGGCAATAGAAGAAGGGGACGACAGAGAATGAGATGGCTGGATGGAGTCACTGAAGCAGTAGGTGTGAGCTTAAATGGACTCCAGAAGATGGTAGAGGACAGGAAGACCTGGAGGAACGTTGTCCATGGGGCCGCGATGGGTCGGACACGACTTCACAATTAACAACAACAACAACAACAACAAAAAGTTTGCTGGAATTTTTTAATTGCCTCTGGTAGAGACCACTGATACGGTTGTTATATTTAAACCTTGGCAGCTTTAAAAAAAAAAAAAAAAGCAGAATCAGACTTCCGCTGGTAGTTGATGAAATACCGCCCCAAGTTGTGAGGTGGACTGAGAAATTGAAAGGGGAGGGGGGGGAAACCATTCCCAGAGCCACAAAGATCGAAGCAGTTTTGTATCAATTACCATGAAAAGAACCTGGATCCGTCTCTACAGTTCCCGGGAACTGAGCCTGACTCAACAGGGACTTTACATGTTACCTTTTGATTAGATTGAATAGCTCTGTAGTTTATTACTGGAAGGGAAATAGGGTGGCGAGGGAGCTGATAATTCTGCAGTTGCACTTTCCTCCTTGCAATCAAGACCAGAAAGAGTTAATCAAGCACCTAGGAGTGCTGGTTAATAGTATTCATTCATTTTAGGGCAACAAAACTCTGGTCCATTTCCTTGTGTTTTTTCAGTGTAAAGTGCTCAAGTTTCCTTCTTTTGTGAAGGAAGTAACAGTTTGATCTACTTACTGTTTGGGCAACTCTCATTCCTGACAGTGAGAACAATTAACCAGTGGAACCACCTGCCTCCAGAAGGGGCGAATGCTCCAACACTGGAAGTTTTTAAGAAGAGACTGGACAGCCATTTTTCCGAAATGGTATAGGGTTTCCTGCCTGAGCAGGGGGTTGGACTAGATGACCTCCAAGGTCCCATCCAACTTCTTCTTCTTCTTCTTCTTATTATTATTATTATTATTATTATTATTATTATTATTCCTGTCAAGTACAAGAACTAACTCTTAAAAATGCATCTCCAGCCCTGGCATTTAACATCTTTGAAGGCAAAGCGGTGGACCTCCAGATGTTCCAGTGATGAAACAGTTCAACATACAGAAAGCTTTGCTGATGCTGTGACTGTAATAAAGATTAATTGAAATTATGGAAAAGTGCACAGTGATCACTCCTGAAGAGGTCCTTCGGTCTTCTTTCTTGAGGAGCAATAGTGAGGAAAAAAATATTTGGTGATGACAATACACACACATCCAATGTATGGTGTGGGTACTGTAGGATCATATCAAGCATTGTGAAGAATTTAGGCAATTATAACTAATTTTTTAAAAACACAGTAGCATCAAGTAAGGTAGCGCAAAAGTTCTAGCTTTGAGAAGTGACCCAGCATTCTAACAAAAGGGGGGACATGAGTAATTGACGCATCATAGCCAAGAAAGGATCCTGGAAAACAGATGCTACAGGATGAGGATGAGTGAAATAAGGCAATTAAGGCAAGATTCCACCTTGATCGTGAGAAAGATAAGGAAATCTACCAGAGAGGGAAACCTAACCAAGTTTAAAGGAGTTGGGCAACTTTCTAAATCTAATAAAAGTAAGTTAAATAAAATGACATTTGAGGTGGAAGAAGGTGGCCTTTATTGAGATCCACCAGCCACAGGCTCAACAGATTACCCCAAAAGTCACGTCTGGTGAGCCCACATCTAAGGCTGGAACTAAAGATGACCAAACTTGGCTTCCTGGAGAATTTAACCTCTTGGGTTAGGAATAGCTTCGAATCCAGCACCTTTCACCTGGAGAGGAAGCAGAAAAAGCCAGCAGCAGGCAGCTCCTGTTCCTTTTCTCCACTCCCTTATGCCAAATAGCGAGGGTTTGGGTGCGTCTCTCCTGTATACTAAGGTGTGTGTGTGTGTGTGTGTGTTGTATGGGGGGGGAGAGAGAGTAGAACGCATCTGAATGGAGGTTTTGGGATCTGGAGGGAGCAAGGGAGAAGATAAAATAAGACAACCTTAGGGGAGGAGAGTGGTGAAGGAGAGGAGAGGAAGAAGAGGGAAGTAGGGAAGAGAAGAAAGGGAGGAAGAAGGTAGAGAAGAAGGAGTGTGGATACGGTGAAAGGGGAAATGGGCGAGCAACACCAAAGTTACGTGTATGTATTTATTTCATTTTGTTAAAAGTATCTGTATGTGAGTGTGGAGGGAATGTATGTTAATATCTGATAAGTATTACGGTATATGTATGGGGGAGAGTTTGGAAAAATAAAAAATTATTAAACAAAAAAAAAAAGACAACCTTTATTGTCATTTTTTTTTTTACTGTGGGCACAAGGGCAACACATCCAAAATGAAATGTAGTTGCCCGCTCTCAAAGCGAAACACATGCACGACACACACCTCAACATACTATGTACAACCTGTGTATAGACGCCCTCCCACCCAGCCTCCGTTGCTACACGGCCTCTCCTCCACCCCCCACCCCACGCTCCCCCTCCCCGGGATCGGGACCCCCTTTGCGCCGGCAGGCGACAGAGCAGAGCGAGCAACCCAGGCAGGCGGGGAGGCGTCGCTGCGCCGAGATGCCAAGGAGGCGCTCCGGAGGAGGAGGAGGAGGAGGAGGAGGAGAAGAAGAAGGAGGGGATTCGAAAGTGACTTTCTCCTCTTTCCGCTGGGCTAAGCTCCTCCCACCGGCCGATGGCCCCGCCCCCGAGGTCCTTGGCACGTCCCCGATTGGTGGGCAGGGCCGGTGCCTTTGAAGTGTGCTGCAGACCGGAGCTATTAGACGTGCGGCTCGGGGAAAGGAAGGGCTTTTTTTTTTTTTTCCTTCCCCTCCGTCTCTCGCTGGGGCCGGTGCGGTCGTCCTTGCCGCTGCCGCCGCCGCCTCTGCCGCCGCTTCCCCGACGCGCCCTGCCCGGCTTTTCGCGCTGCGGAGCTCGCCTCTCCCCCCCTTTTCCCCCCTCCCCAGCCCTGCCCTACCCCACCCCCGCCCTGCCCGGCTCGCTCCCCCAAATGAGCGGCGGTTCGCCCGCTGGATCTAACGCAAGGAGATCGCCCAGCGGCAGCAGCAGCAGCGGCGGAGGCGGAGGAGGAGGCGGCGGAGAAGGCTCGGCCGCCGCCTGGTCAGCCCAGCCATCCGGAGCCGTGTGCCCGGCGCTCTCGCACCTGTCCCCGGAGGACCCCCTGCGCCAGGCGAACCGGCTCCCCATCCGGATCCTGAAGATGCTGAGCGCCCACAGCGGCCACCTCCTGCACCCGGAATACCTGCAGCCGCTCTCCTCCACGCCCGTCAGCCCCATCGAGGTCAGTGCCAAGTCCGAGCCTCCTTCCTTGGGCGACCGAGGCCGGGCCTTTTCCGCCCACGCGCTCGGCCGCCGCTTCTGCTAGCTCTCGGCCACGGCGCGCCTTCCCAACGGCTTCCCCGGGGCGGCGGAGCCCCCTCATCCTCCCACCCCGGCCCTTTCCGCGGCGCTTCCCGGAGCGCGCCCCCCCCATCTCCACCTCCTTTCCCCCTTAGCTCGGGCACCTCTGTTCCCCGCTTCCAGGCGCCCCGCTTTTGTGGACGGCTGGCGGAGGGCGCCCGCTTGCGAGCCAGCCTTAAGCCCGAGCTGATTGGGCTTGGCTGGCCTGCCGATGGCAAGGACTCAAGGACTGGGGGAGGGGGAGGACGAAAGAAAGAAAGAAAGAAAGAAAGAAAGAAAGAAAGAAAGAAAGAAAGAAAGAAAGAAAGAAAGAAAGGTGCGCTACGGCCTTTGGCGTCTTCTTCCCCAACTTTGCGCCGCCGTTTTAATGCTACCGCTTGGAAAAGGAGGGTGCAAAGGGGCGCCTGCAGGGGGGGCGATATCAAACTAGCCCGAGGAGAGGAAAGGTCCCATTTGGGGGGGGCGGGAGGGGGAAGAGGACTTCTGTCCACCGACTCCCACTCCGGGTTCCGCGGCTGCACGTCGGAAGGCGCCGGACCCGTATCGCGGATGACCTTACAGCGGGGATGAGAAGCGGGGAAGAAGGGGGGGGGGAAGCAATTCCTAGGTTGGAGGACGGACGGGTGGGTGGCTGGGAACTTCCAGCCATCCGGACTGGAACACTCTGGTCCCTCGGGAGATGCGGGGGCTCTTGTCTGGTGCGCCCCGGGACCCCCTCGCCTAGCTCGGCTTTTCTCACGCGCCTTTCCTCTCTCCTTCCTCCCCGCAGCTGGACGCGAAGAAGAGCCCCTTAGCGCTGCTGGCGCAAACCTGCTCGCAGATCGGGAAGCCGGATCCGCCGCCCGCTTCCAAACTCAACTCCGGCGCGGCCGCCGGGCTGTCTGGGCCGGAGAAGGAGTCGAGCGGCCGCGCCTCCGGGGCCGGAGCCGGCGGTTCCCTCGGCAAGCAACTGGGCGACGCGCCGGCCGAGGATAAGTCGAGCTTCAAGCCCTATTCCAAAGGCGGAGGAGGCGGCGGAGGAGGAGATCCGCGGAAGGACGGCAGCCTCCCGCCGAGCCAGGCCGGGTCCGGCGCGGAGAAGAACGGCTTCCGAGTCCCCAGCGCCGCCTGCCCGCCTTTCCCTCCGCTCTCGGCCGCTTCTGCCGCCGCCTCGTCCTCGTCCACCGCCTCGTCCTCCTCGCCGGGCGGCTCGAGAGGCAATTCCCCGCAGCAGGCGGACTGCCGAGGCGGCCCCGACGACAAGAAGGAGTCGGAGATCGCGGCCAAAGGCAGCCCAGACGGCGCGCCAGGAGGCGGCGGCGGCGGCGGCGGCGGCGGGAGCCGCTCGGGCGCCGGCAGCGTGGAGCCCGGGGCGCAAAGCGAGGCGTCTTCCGGGCGCAAGTCCGAGCCTCCGGCCTTGGCGGGCCACGTGGCTCCGGTGTCTCCTTACAAGCCGGGCCACTCGGTCTTTCCTCTGCCCCCCTCCGGCATCGGCTACCACGGCTCCATCGTGGGCGCGTACGCGGGTTACCCGTCCCAGTTCGTGCCCGGCTTGGATCCTACGAAGGCCAGCCTGGTGAGCGGCGGCCAACTGCCGGGGGCTTTGGGGCTCCCGGGAAAGGCGTCCAGCTCCAGCCCGCTGACGGGCGCCTCCCCGCCTTCCTTCCTGCAGGGATTATGCCGAGACCCCTACTGCCTGAGCTACCACCCCGCCTCCCACCTGGGCGGCGGCAACTGCTCCAGCTGCGTCCACGACCCGGGCAGCCTGAAGAGCGCCTACCCCTTGGTCTACCCCAGCCACCCGCTCCACGGCGCCCTGTCGTCCAGCGCCACGCCGGCCCTCGCCGGCCACTCGCTCTACACCTACGGCTTCATGCTGCAGAACGACGCCCTGCCCCACATATGCAACTGGGTCTCGGCCGGCGGACCTTGCGACAAGCGGTTCGCCACCTCCGAGGAACTGCTGGCCCATTTAAGGACTCACACGACTCTGCCCGGGGCGGAGAAACTGCTGGCTGGTTATCCTACCTCGGGGCTGGGCTCGGGCGCGTCCTGCCACCTCCACCTGCCGCCCGCCGGCCCGGGAAGCCCCGGCTCCTTACCCGGATCTCTGTCGTTGAGAAGCCCGCAGACTTTGGGACTAAACCGCTATCATCCCTACGGCAAAAGCCACTTGCCGACGCCGGGCTCCTTGCCGGTGGCTTCCTTGCCTGCAGCTGGACCCTACTACTCCCCCTACGCCCTTTATGGCCAAAGACTAACCTCAGCTTCTGCACTTGGATATCAGTAACTTCCAGCGGCCCCTGCCCCCCCTCTGGCGACCCGGCCTCGCCTCCGGAGTGTGTATTTATTTCCTGTATGTTAGCTTAAAGCTGGGAAAATAAGTGCATTAATACACCAATGAATCAATGGTATGCAAAACGTCTGTGTCTCCCGCCCCCCCCCCACCCGCACCCCACCCTCTCCAAAATCTGACCCACTCTTTTATTTTATTTTGTTTTATTTTGTTTTGTTTTATTTTATTTTTTAAAAAAAGCAAAATGTTTGTGTCCATGAGGTGGGATAGGGGAACGTTTCCTGTCTTCCCTTCCCCCCCCCCCTTTAAATATTTTTAAAGAAAGCTTTGCTCTGGTCCACGGGGAGCACCTGGCATGATGTTCAGCAAAATGTTTTTCTTCCTTCTCCCTGCTTTTTTTCTACCCCCCACCACACACACACACACACACACACAGACACACACACACACACACACAAACATTTTCTTTTTTTAAGTTTGGTTCTATTCTTGGTTTCGGGTTTTTTGGCTTTTTGTATAGTAACTGGAAAATTGGGGTTTTGGTTTTTTTTGTTTTTTGTCTTGTGGAAGGAAGGAAGGAAGGAAGGAAGGAAGGAAGGAAGGAAGGAAGGAAGGAAGGAAGGAAGGGGGAGGTCAGATTGGCTGGGAAATTAATCGCAGGCTTTGTTGGAACTGCGGAAGCGGAAGGAGGGGTGGTGATTGGACTCACTCTGTGACTGGGATGCTGCTGGCATTGGGCTGGCAGTGCTGAGTTGGGGTACCGCATAGAACCCATCGTCCTGCCTCCTCTGCGGAAACCAACTCTCCTGGGCTCTCAAGAGTGAGCAGAGAGGCCCTAAACAAAAAGGAGAGCATTCAAGCACTGGAATTTTCGGGGTGAAGCTGAAGCTTCTTCCCATAAAGGAAGGGGCGTGCAAGCTTTCCACCAGTGGGGTATCTTTCACACTTATTTTATTTTTGCTTTGGCTTTTTTTCTTTCTTTCTTTTTGTTCTCTCCTCTCCTTCCACTCCACCCACCCGCCCTGCTTTCTCTCTCTTCGAAAGACCTGAATTTTAAGGAAATTAGCAAGCATCCTTGAGGGACTGGAAGAGAACAAGATTCTTTCTTTATACGCCAAATGAGGAACTCGGAGGACTTTTTGCTCCGTCTGGTTTCAAGCTGGATCGTCAAGTCTAGCTAGTGGCCCTTGGGGGCCCTCTCTATCTTTGTCTGTAGGCTCAAATCTACATACCAAAAAACCCCAACCATCAACCAACGGAAAAAAAAAATCACTTGCCCTTATTTCCTAATGACCCTATCGCCCACTTTTCTCTTGACCTGTGGGAATGGAACAGCTGTTAAGGTGGGGCGACCCCCTCCCCAAATTCCAGAACTAACTGCAGCACGGAAGGCTGCAGATCTTTTGGGGTGAATAGAACTCCCACTTGGTAAGTCTTATTTTGTTAATAAATGAATACTTGCTATATCTACCCCATCGCGTCTGCTCTTTTGCATTCTCCCTTCGCCTTCCTGCGTTTACACCTTCCCCTTGGCTGGCTGGCTGGCTGGCTGGGCCTTGGAAATTCAAAGACAACAGTCCGAAGGATGGCCAAACCATGAACCAAGTCCTTTTGTTTTTAAGAGGACTGAACGGTGGAAGTGGAGAGATCCCAGTCATCAAACCAGCCTATTGTTCATCCGGTTGTGATTTCTGGTTTAGTGCATTGGGCAAGCACAGCTGATTCGGTCTGCCATTCCGAGAAGGGAAGGCCTCTTGTGAATCTGGCCATTTTGTGGGGGAAACCGAGGCAAGAATTGCAGGGGAAGAGAAGCATTGGGCCCCTGGCCAGCAGGACAGACCCACATAATAATACCTTTGTCTCTGATGTGCTACCTTTCTTTCTGCAAGGATCAGAAGGGAGGGGGGGGGGAGATGTTCCAAAGCAATGTGCCTGCACCACTTTTGTGTTCCTTATTGCCCGCAACTGCCACCTCAGCAATCTGAATGCTTCATTCTGCTGAATGGGTGAAGTCTGCCTGCAGCTGCTCTCTCCGCTAAGTGTTTCTCTTGAGCTAACTCTATTCGGTGGAGTGGCGAGTTTCTCGTTATAGGAAATATATACCAATTGAAGTCCAGGAAAGACTTTTTAAAGGGGGGGGAGAGAGAAACAGGATTTGAAAAAAAACCTTCCTGGGAAATGGAGCAGGGAAAGGTTGCAGCACCCCCTCGTGGCGGAGAAAAGTAAACGCTTTTGCATCCTCTGAGAACGCTGTTATGGTTATTTATGGATAAGACACCGTGCTAAGAACAATGTTTTATTATCAGGACTTTGGCACATTTTTCCCAAAGGCACCAGAATGCTGAAGGATTTACCTCTCTGCTGTTACGATTTTAATTCAGGGTTTGTTTTTTTTAAAGAGTCCAGCTTCATCCATCTTGAGAACCCCGAAGGGAGGGGATGTATATATTTTTCACTTTTCCTCCTTCTCCTCTGGATCCATTGCCCCAAGTTCTCCGATCATTCCGCAAGGTTTTAAAATCTCAGTTGGGGTGTCCTTTTGTTTTCCTTTCCCTGCCAAGAGTGCAGGCCACAGCACTAGTTGACTTTTGCACTGAAGGACATTGGGATGTGCAAAGTCAGCCTTTTTCCCCAGCATAACCCTTGGGTTTGTCCTAAAGGTGCTTTCCTTCAAAAGGCAACTGGACTTCTTCAAAAGGCCATTTTTCCTAGAAGACATTTCGCGTCTCCTCCAAGATGATTCTTCCGTTCTGACTAAATAATGGGGAACTGAAGAAGCTTCTTGGACGAGAAGCGAAACGTCTTCAGGGAAAAACAAAAGTCCAGTTGCCTTTTGAAAAAAGCACCTTTGGGACATCTATGACCTGGATGACTGAGGATCTCCATGGACCATCCCTGTGGTCTCCATGCCATAGGTGAACAGGGACTTTTGGGGATGATTTGCAAGCCTCAGCTCTGGGGTGCCTGGCCTGTGGGAAATAGGAAAGTACTTGCATTTGACGGAAGGGAGCTTAGCGCTAGGGCTATCCAGTGGTGAGTCAGTTGAATAAGTTTTGTTTGGGTGTTCTTTTACTTCTCCCATGATACCCGTCTGCTTTGTGCATTGTGCAAGAAAACGGCTTTTCCAATCCAGGTGTATTGGAAGTCAACTCATAATGCCCCCACCTGGTAGATCTTCTGCCAGGAGTTAGACTGCAGGATGGAGTATTTTCTACCATAGTTGAAGGATGCTTGTGAGACTCTCCATCTTTTCTTTGTTTTCCTGAGCAGGTAGGCAGGGACCACAAAGTAGACCCAGCTGTAAGTTGGTCATAAATTTGCTCTTCACCAGAACGGGATCTTTTTCTTTCTCTTTTCTTTCTTTCTTTCTTTCTTTCTTTCTTTCTTTCTTTCTTTCTTTCTTTCTTTCTTTCTTTCTTTCTTTCTTTCTGAGGCTGCTTAATTCAGAGTGGAGAATTTGAAGGCTGCTGAGATGTTGCTAAAATGCCATTTTTGGCAGCCTCAGTCAGGGTAGCCAGTAATGAAGAATGCTAGGAGTTGGATGTCCATCAACATCTGGAGAACTACGAGTTCTCTCCCTCTACTGTAGTAAGGAGGCTTCAACCTGGATAATTTTTCAAGCATTTGAAAAACTATTGCCATATCAACACTTTTCTCAGAAGCTAATTGATGACCTGGAGGATGGTCTTGCTTTTTAAGATGCAAAAAAGTGACTTAAGATTAACAGGCTTTATTGGAGATAATCATGGATGTCAATCCGTAAGAATGATAATAACTGCCATTATCCATCTGGGATGGTTCTCAGTGCTCAGTTTTGTTTATAACCAGCCTTCCACAACCTGGGCATAGCCAAATGTGTTGACTTAACTCCCAGAATTCTCAGCAGCAATGACTGAAATTTATATCCACACATTAGAGTGAACTCAGAATTGAGTAAGATCTACCCATCTGTAGAGTATCAAGTAGGGATTATTTTTAGCGAAACCTGGAAATGAAAGGAATTGAACTCTGAATCTACTTCAGACAAAGCAGAGGTTCTACGGTTGAGTAATGAGGGTTCTTCCATCACATTTTAAATACTTGTAGTAGGGAGAGCCATATTTCAAACAGCATTGCCCTGCTAATGAAGTCAGATGAAACTACTTTTTGTTTATATGGTTGGGGACAGGATTGATGAGCATAAGTGCTTGGGTTCAAAGATGACTTTTCAAAGATATAAAAGATGACTGTCTAGAATGCTGTAGAGCTTCAAGCTCAAGTTTATAGCTACGCAAATGTGTATCTAGCTGCGTAGGTGATATTTGTTTTTAATTCTCAGAGATTGTCCCATTAATTGGGCTAGCAACATATCTTTAAGCTAAGATAAAATGAGATTAATTTTATTAATTAATAAACCATCGTTTTAGCATGTTGTGTGACAGGCAATCAGGTTATGCTGCAATATGATTGATGGAATGTTGTGGGGATTCAGGAATTGAGGGCTTATATAGGGGAGTTAAATGAACTCAGCCAACTGTCTGTTTAGGCACCTTGAAAAAGATAAGATAACACCAAGGAACTTTCTACAGAGCAAGCTGTTGTCTGCAATGATTCCACCATAGTTTGGACTAAATTCAGTTACAGAAGGATTTCCCTTTCCTTTCCTTTCGCTTCCCGTTCCTCCTTTCCTCCTTTCTTTCTTTCTTTCTTTCCTCTTTCTTTCTTTTTTTCTTTCTTTCTTTCTTTTTCTATCTTCTTCCCCTCCTTACCTTCCACCCTTCCTTCCTCCCTTCCTTCTTTCCTTCCCTCCTTCCATAGAGAGGTTTGGAACTGCACCTTCCATGACCTTCTCATCCACAGGTCTCTTTCAGTTTTTGTCCAGATGGCCACTGAAGTCCGGATCCTCTGGTGGGTTTCAGGACTGCCTCACCCTGTTCTAAACAAAGCAGAAGTGCTTGTTCTTTGACGCTCAGAATGGCCACCGTGCGTTTCGCCTTCTCAGCAACTCAACTGCCAGTAGAGTGTGCATTTGAAGCAAGCCAGTAAAAAATCTTAAGAAGACTCTTGCTAGATCAGCACAAATACCTTTTCAGTCTCCCATCCCATTTCCTGCAGTAGCCAAGCAGAGGCCTTTGAGAGGCCTGTAAGCAGAATGGGCAGAAGAAGCATCGATACTAGGGATAATAAAACCTCCGTGAACTTTCTGATCAGGGCAAAAAGGTTTCGTATCAACTTTCAGAGTTGGATATTATACTGTACACTTGGTCGATGCTCAGTGAGATCACTTGGTCGATGCTCAGTGAGATCTCGTTTCCTCAGTCTATCACAGTGTTTCTCAACCTTGACAATTTTAAGGCATGTGGACATCAACTCCCAGAATTCCACAGCCAGCAATGCTGGCTGTGGAATTCTGGGAGTTGAAGTCCACATGCCTTAAAATTGTCAAGATTGAGAAACACTGGCCTATCAGTGTTTACTTTCAATCTGACTATGATTTTCAGAAAAACAGAGTTAACAGATGGGTGGTTAAAATGCTGATGCGGTTATTGGTGTTATTATGGATAAACTTGACTGATTTAGTTGTAGTTGCAAATACTGACAGAATCTAGTCCATTTCTCTTTGCTTCATCCCGTTTTGGTTCCTGAGGAAAATGAGAAGGAAGTAGAACAAACAAGGCTGTACTTTGGCTAGTTTTGACATGTGGCCTAATATACATTTGATCTTCTGTGAGCCTGCACATGTTTGTGCACGTCTCTAATCCTACGTATTTAATAAAATACTGGAAGATTACTATTTATCACCGAGCTTTTTGCAGACAGATGTCAAACGGGCAGCCCAAACTAGAAATTATGCAATTACCGCTGTTTTCTGAAACTTCCTTACAAAAAAAGTTTAAATCAGTTCTTAAGTCTGAATTGTACATCTGGCACGGCAATGTTCTCTGCAGTCAGTAATACAAGTATGCTTGGGAGAATTTCAGAGGTTAAGGTGCAGTTGTAAATTATTTTTGCAAGGGTACAATTTCATTCACTGCTTTTTTAAAAAAAACATCTATGGAGCTGTAAAAATAAGCCACCAGAAGACCGCAGAGCTGGAAATAATACCTTGCAGCAAGTTTCTGTGCCATGGAAAATTTCACGGGGCCATGAGCACCTGTTTTTCTTAGTTTTAACATAATGTTTCAGAGGTGAGAAGTTTTCATGGGTGAGATGCCTTTCTCTTTGATAAAGAGCCAACAGAACAACTCTGATTGATTTGTTGTTATCTCTTTCTTTAGGAGTCATTTTCCTCCATGGATGCCATCTCTGATAGGAAACAAATTATATGCGAAAAAATGGGTTGCTTTTTTGATATAAATTCAGGTGCTTGGAATTAAACGTTCCTTCTGTTCTGTTCTGCTTCCCAAGAAGTCTTTTCATTGCAACTAGACCCTCTGGCATTTCTTTGTATATAATCCAGCTTTCCTTGTACTGTATTTTCTTAAAAGAAAA